TATCGCTCTTTAGCGCCCTTCAAAATTTTTTCCTCTTTTTTTTCATTATTTTTTTATGCCAACTCCAGTGATTTTCGTGACCTCAAAACTTATCCCAAATTTTTATGTATTTTAGGTTAAAAAGATAAAATTTAAATAAAAGATGACGCTCGATAGATAGTCCACCCGGCCCTTAAAACAAAAATTTTGCTATCTTTTTTATTTATTTTATGTGTTATATTTCCGTAAAATCCATGGAACAGGTAAATTACTTCATTTTACCGATTCACTGCGGACTTCTGCGTAAGTAGTTTTCTAAAGATATTATTGTTCTTCAGGTACATCGCTGGGAAAACTTATTACTTCGGAGTTGGTGGAGGGATGCGACAGTTCGAAAATCTAGTCCTGAAAGACAAAGCATTATCTGTTGAGAAAGTCTGGAAGAGTGAAGAAGGTAGAAACAATATTTCGATAGACTCTTTAATGCCCAACACCTAAGACATTTTTTTCTAGGCTTACAACGCGAGGTACTGAAGTTAACGAAGCTGTTGTAGTCCTCCTATAAATTAATAAATTCCTCTAAAGACAATCTCAATTATCTGAGGTGTCGATTCAAGGGGATAATCTCTCGTAAACCCAGCCATCGTCTCCTTGGTGAACCAATATATTATTGATCTTTTCGTTGGGTTGAGGCCGTCGAAAGCGGATCCTGTCGTGGAGACGATCACTCTGGCCCTGCCAGAACTCCACGCATTTTGGAATGACAATGAAACCGCCCCTAGAAAAATAAAAAAAAAATTTCATAACGAAAATGCAAGGTATTTTATACATCATTCCACAGGAATTCAATTAAAAATGTAATTGGATTTTGACGAATTCGTACTGGAAATCGTCCGATCGTACATTCTTGATGGAAACCTCGATCTATTTTCAATAATTTTGTAATGGAAAAACAATAAAATTCCATGTTTCTACGTATTTTTTCCAATATTTGAATTTTGATTTTGATTATTTGGATTTCGTGGGAAATCGGGAGATTGAGAAATATTTCTTATTAGTTATACCAGCAGGGAGGTCTAGGAACTTTTCCCTCTGAAAACTGAGCCAGGAACTCTCTCTCCTTGATCATCAGGGTCTCACGTCCAGCGATTGGTGCACTCTGTTTACTCGCATGTGCTCCGATCTGACTGGGGAATGGTCTGGTAGAAAAATAAATATCGGAGTCCTCCTGCGAAGTCTTCTCTACTCTGCCCTCAATACGCACCTGTTCAAGGAGTAAAGAACGAGAGCGAAATTATATAAATCCTCATTTAAATGGGATTAAAAATATTACCGTTCTTCTCATAGGCTCCCAGTGGAACACTAAAGCTGCGTTAGGATTATCTGCCTGAAATTAAATTTTTTAAACTTGCTGAAATCTCCGAAATAAAACTGCACAATTAATTTAATTCACGTACCAGCTCACGACCTTTTCGGCTCTCGTAGTTCGTATAAAATTTGAATCCTTCAGTGCTGAAGCCTTTGAGAAGTACTGGTCTTGCTGAGGGAATCCCATCTCTATGAAAGACATCAGACGTGAGAAAAATTCAGTAGAAAAACGTATCCTTTTTTATAATGTCCATTGAGATTTACACGAGGCTATAAGGTGTTGCTTTTTTCGCATTTCTCAACCCACGAATTCATTCGCTATAAAAAATTAAAAAATCTATAACTCAGTGGATTTACCTGGTTGCTGTGGCCACAATCATGGCATTGGGTTCCTGAATAGTCGGTAAATTGCAAGCAGCATCAAACCAAATTTTGAACTGCCCAATGGGTTCCTTGAATTGCAGCTGATCCTCAGTAAAAGTTTCTGATTTGTCCTTGTACTTGATCCTCATCCCTGACAAGATCATTCAAAAAATTCATTATAAAAATTCATTAAAAAAATCACCATATCAAATAATGACATACAGACCTCCCAAATCGACGTTACACGTAGGATTCGATGTTGGGGTCGTTGACATTGTTGAAAGACTGATAATTCTGTGTTCAAAAATACGTTTGACAATCAACCTCAAACATAAACGCGCCGGCATCAATAATTAGTGTGTCGTGCTGATCAACCAGTTGACGATCATTTAAATCCTGAAAAATCACTGGAACCAATTTCCATGACTGTAAGTCCTGAGCTCGATTGATTTACTGATCACAAGTTTTGATTACTCACTCTATTTTAACAATTTCGGGGTAATCAGCGCCGAGGTCTTTTGTCTAACGCCATATGCCACGTTTAGTTCTCTCTATTATGTAATATTCAATATTTACAATTGACAAATAATCCTTCGACATCAAAATACGTCAGACCCCCACCACAGCTGATTAATCAGTGATCTGGATAAGATTGGTCAATACAGAATGGAAGTTGCGATAAAATGAAAGCCGGGGAGCAGCAGGAAAAATATTAATGTCAATTGTTGTTCGGAGAGAAATTTTCCTGTTTTGGTACTGATTTATGACGGCAATGGTGAGCATTGAAAATTGATGAGGCTAGAATGAAAATATTATTGTTTACTCGTGAGATTTAAAGGGGTTCTGGAAAATTGTCTGAAGGATTGATCCTAACCTAGAAATAATTCGATTATTCAAAAGTAGAATATTTTTATTCAGAACTGGAGATCATGACTTCGCATTTATTAAAAAAGGTCGTATATGGAAAATTATATTTATATTATATTTACTTTTTTCTTCTGAACGTCACTCCCAGGAATCACTTTCTTAATTCTACCCACGATTTGATAATGAAATTAAACAAAAAAGTTTTGGAAAATTAATGTTCGAGGATCGAAAAACGTAAGGATACAGCCTTCTCTTAGAATTTGTTTATAACGTAAAATTGAGTTGAAAAAAAAAATAGTTTCAATTCAACTATTCACTCAAATAATAGTAAGTTTTTCGTTTTGAGATAAATTTTGCGTGAAAAATACAAAAAAGAGTCTATACGACCTTTTGCTTAACATACGCGATTTTCCCAATGAGTTGAAATTAGTGTGGGAACACTGAGAAAATGAGAAATAAACAACAAATGTTTTAAAGTCTTCAAGCGATCCTCTCGAGCCAGTCCTGGAGTTGTTCAATATCGGCGGAGGTTTCTGAGTCTTTGCTGAAGGCACTGCACTCGGCGAACTCGAGGTTCAGGTTCAAGTCGTCGAATTGGAAGTCTTTGCCCTCTTTTCCTAGGAATGTGTTGTTGGAGGAGGCGTCGGTCGCCTCCAGCTGACTGGACTTGGTCAAACGAACGAGATTTAATTCCTTCTCGAGGAGATTTCGGATGACAGTACTGCTTTTAGCTAGTGTCTGGTCTTGCTTGTTGCAGAGGACCAGAATTGGAAGGGACTTTCTCACTGCTGAGTCGCACAGCAAAGTGTAGAAAAACCTGTGCAAAATATTTAATGTGAGAATATAGCGAATACACTAGAGAATTCTATTGGAATTCGATTTCACTCTCTATTTGTTTTGCCGATTATATTGAATTCTTCGTTTGCTTTGAATATATTCAATGGAAGAAGTTCATGCCCTGGGATCTAATTTTCCAGTGTCTGTTGTCTGATTTTCTTGAGATGAGATTAAGAAAATTTAATAGAATCGGCTCAAAGCTAATAGTCAGTGCATTTGAAATTCAACGGAATTTTCCAATGAATGTATTCCACTCTTCACCACGTATGGATGTTTTTTTTTTTGTGTGAGTTTTGGAAGAACTTACTCTGCCACGTCACGAATGTCTTTTTGAAAGGTCACAGAGTCGATTACGTAGATCAGACCTCGGACTGATGACTTGTATTTATCGAAGAATTTGTATCTCAGTCGCTCGTGACCCGGGATGTCTACAATTCGTAGAGCATTCTGAAACAAAAATTGCACTGCGAAATATCTTACAAAAAAACTCTAATTTTTGATCGTTAAAAAATCTATTTTTATCTTTTTTCCTTCATTAATTTGTACTATTGATACCAGAATTTCGTTATTTTATTATCATTTACTAATTTCTTTAATTTCATGGAAATTTCTGCATGAAATTTTGTTTTATGAAAAAAAAAATTGAATATTTCCTCCGGTTTTTAAATGAAAAACAAAATTCCACTAGGAATAACACGCATACTATAACGTACCTCTTTAATTTCGATGTCTCCAATATTTTCTTTTGCAGATGTGTACGTCTCGATGAATCGCAAATGAACCAATCGTGCGTAAAGTAATGTTTTTCCAGCATCACAGAGACCGGTGATGAGAACACTACGACCAACCGATTTTTTTCTCTGCCATACAATGAATAGAACTGCAACAATAATTCATCAATAAATCCAGGGCAATCTATTTTTATATCTCCAGAATGATAACACTATCATGTGTTGTCAAGAGATAATGGACCCATTTGTTTACTACATACATAATTATAACGTACTCTGTAGGTATTTTCTAATCCTTATTCTAATAATGTTTTATAATTATTGTAAATACAATGACATACACTTTGTCTAACTGAAATGTAATAACAATTTTTTAAAACGCACATTTTGGTGTTCAGAAAAAATATATTTCCATAGATGGAACAAACAATTATTTATTTTTCACGGTGTTTATTTTATGAATGGGATAAACAATAGCCCTGCAGATGAGGTTATCTTATTGAAAATGGAGAGAAATTAGAAAAGTTTATTATTACCGATTGTCAAAATGATAATAAATATCGCCACAATAATCCCAAAGAGCTGTGGCATCTCATCATCCTTTAGTAATGGCTCAGCTCGTTTTTCCATAATTTAATTATTTATTGCCACAATTGTTATTTACTACTCCAGATGGTCAACATGTGGTCTCAGTGTTAAGGACTTACGTAGCAAAGTGGATTGACTGAAGTAGAGGCTCAGTTCTGGAGGTTTGAGTGACCCCAGCGGCTTTGTAGTTCTGCACCCCAAGAGAGGTGGGGCGCCACACGCAATGGGGCTGTCCTCCCGTCAGCTACTCGGTAACTGCCTCAGTGGCAGTCTCAGGGGAGCATGAAAATTCAGGAGGTATTCACTGAAATTTGAAAATTCAAAATTTTCAAAAAAGTATCAGGGGAGCATGAAAATGGAGGAGGTATTCACTGAAATGTGAAAAATCGAAATTTTTTAAAAATTATCAGGGGAGCATGAAAATGAAGGCGGTATTCACTGATAATTGAAAATTCGAAATTTTTCGAAAAGTATTAGGGGAGCATGAAAATCGAGAAGGTATTCACTGAAATTGAAAAATTAAAAATTTCCAAAAAAAATAACAGGGGAGCATGAAAACGAGGAGGTATTCACAGAAATTTCGCAATTTTCATAAAAGTATCAGGGGAGTATGAAAATCGAGGATGTATTCATTGAAATTGAGAAATTTTAAATTTTCCGAAAATAAAATTCACCCAATCAATTGCTCCCTCTGACAGCGGGAATGCTACTGAGGCAGTTACCGAGTCGGCTGACGGGCAGACACCCCACCAACGGGTGCGGCCCCCTCTTTCTCTTGGGGTGAGGTGCTCGCGCAGAACTGAGCCGCTCAGTGGGGGTTTGAGGGACCCCACCGGCATTGTACCCCACCTCACCCCAAGAGAAAGAGGGGGCCGCACCCAATGGTGGGGGGTCTGGGGGGGGGTCTACCCGTCAGCCGACTCGGTAGCTGCCTCAGTAGTAGTTCCGCTGTCAGACGGATCAGTCGATGTGGTGAATGTTATTTTCTGCGTTACGAAATTGGTATTCACTGAAATTTGAAAATTCGAAATTTTTGAAAAAGCATCGGGGGAGCATGAAAAGCGAGCAGGTATTAACTGAAATTGAAATTTTTAATTTTCGAATTTCAATGAATACTTCCTCCATTTTCATGCTCCCCTGATACTTTTTCGAAAAATTCGAATTTTCAAACTTTTGTGAATAGCTCCTCGATTTGAATGTTCCCCTGATACTTTTTAAAAAATTTCGAATTTAGAAATTTCCGTGAATACCTTCTCAATTGTCATGCTCTCCTGATACTTTTTCAAAATTTCGAATTCTTCGATTTCAGTGAATACCTCCTCAATTGTCATGCTCTCCTGATACTTTTTCAAAAGTTTCGAATTTTCAAATTTCAGTGAATACCTCCTCCATTTCCATGCTCCCCTGATACTTTTGCAAAAATGTCGAATTTTCAAATTTCAGTGAATATTTACTCGATTTCCATGCTCCCTTGATACTTTTATAAAAATTTCGAATTTTCACATTTCAGTGAATACTTCTTCAATTGTCATGCTCTCCTGACACTTTTCCAAAAATTTCGAACTTTTAAATTTTAGTGAATACCTCCTCGATTTTCATGCTATCCTGATACTTTTTCAAAAATTTATAATTTTTCAAATTTCAGTGAATATCAATTTTGTAACGCAGAAAATAACATTCACCCTGTCAACTGGTCCCTCTGACAGCGAGACTGCAACTGAGGCAGTTACCGAGTCGGTTGACGGGTAGACTAGTTACGTGATTTCACTGTTTTTTTTAAGAGAGAATTATTTATTAGGTTCAGAATTTTCGCAATTATCTTATCTCGTCAAATTGAGATTGCCCGCGGTTTTCTGTGCGCATGCACGGTCTGCGTGCGTATGCGCAGAGTACCGCCTGGTCACCCCCCACTCGAGCGCCGCCTCCAACGCCCCGCCATTTTGAGTGGGGAGTCAGTCGTTCGGCGGCAGCGCCTGGAACGGTCGGTCGGGTGTCGCGTAGTGAAAATCCGTTAACATCGGGGTTCTAGTGAGTTCAGAAAACCGGTGCTGCCTGTGAACATTGAAAATACAAAGTGCGGGACTCAGTGCAAGTGATTTTGGGATGTGAAATAATTTTTTAAACAGTTTATCAGAGCAGTTTGAGTGATTGAGATTTTTCGTTTGTTACACTGAACTTCGGTATTGCCGAACGGCCGGCCGGCGTCATTGTGTTTACAAAAATTCCTTTGTCCGTTTCTCGGAATTGTTTAGTGTGTGTTTAGATACGGACTGAAGTGAGAGTGCGAATTAGATTCGAAGGATTTCTTTCCTCATTCATCTGATTTTGAATGAGTAAAAATATTATTTGATCTTTGATATTATTTTATTGGTATTTGTGGATTTTGCGTTGTTAAAACATTCTTGGTTGTGTCGTGAGTGATTAGTGAATGTTTGAACTGTCTCGAGTGCTGGTGCATCCAAGGCGACTTCAACTTTTGGCGTCAGAATCACATGTAGATCATCAGGATTGGAGGGAATCTTGCAACCGACTGCAAGGTGAGTTTCGTATGCATTTTTTTTATGACCTTG